ATGTCCTGTATGGAATAATAATAATATGATAAATGGTATATAATTATCTATATATTTAATATTGTCTACTTATATTGATTGATTATGTATTTACATCTCAAATGGAATTAGGATCTCATGATTTGTTTTAACGTGGTGTTACTAGGCTCTGTCTTAATAATAATTTTCTCTTACTTTCCATAGATATATATATTGTTTGTTTGCTCCAATTCTTACATAGTATTGATGTAGGATTCCTCTTTCTTAGAATGGTAGTTCCAGAAAATCAAAGATGGATGTGTAATAGAATCAATCCGAGTACTAAATGGGTTACAATAGATTTCGAGCGAGGTGTTGAGGAGTTTCTTGCCCATGCGTTTCAATCATCTTATTCTCAAACATCGGGAGAGCTTAGGTGTCCATGTGTGAAATGTAAATGTAGGTCACATCTAAGTTTTGATGAGGTGAAGACACACCTGTATAAAAAGGGATTCATGCCAAACTACTATATATGGACTAATCATGGTGAAAGACGAACCCTTCACCCTTTGTCTATTGCCAAGTGCCCTACATCCCTCCCATGGGCCACTTGGTCACCAAAGTCAATATGAGACCATGATGATGGATGCAGCTGGGCCGAGCTTTTGGGATAACTATATGAAGGTCCTGAAGAGATGCCAAATCCTAATGCAAGAGCATTTTATGAATTGCTACATGTTGCTCAACAACCTTTGTGGGAAGGATGTGAAGAGGAATCTCAACTTTCAGCAACTTTGCAATTATTGAGTATCAAAGCAAGAACCAACATATCACAACAAAGTTTCAATTTAGTCTCTCAACTTATGCAGAGGACCCAACCTAAAGACACTCGTATGCCTATAGACTTGTACCAAACAAAGAAGTTAGTGTCAAAGTTAGGTCTTGATTATAAGAAGATCAATTGTTGTGTGAATGGGTGTATGTTGTATTATAAAGCTGATGATAGTGCAACCCAGTGTAAATTTTGTTGTGAGGCAAGATACTTCTCCAAAAAGTGTCATGGAAGAAAGAAGAAAGTTGCAAGGAAGCAGTTGTGGTTCTTACCTCTCATTCCAAGATTACAAAGATTGTTTGCTTCTGAAAAAATTACAAAGCAAATGAGATGGCACTATGAAAATTGTCGAGGTTCTAATGTCCTTTCTCACCCTTCTGATGGCCAAGCATGGAAGGTTTTGGATAGTACATATCCAAACTTTGCATGTGATCCAAGAAATGTGAGGCTTGGGTTATGTGCTGATGGATTTACGCTATTTGGGCAATCTGGGAGGCAATATTCTTGTTGGCCTATGATTATTACTCCATATAATCTACCACATGAGGTATGCATGACACAAGAATACATGTTCTTGACATTGATCATCCCTAGCCCTAATAATCCTAAAGGAAAAATTGATGTCTATTTACAACCTTTAATAAATGAATTAAAATTATTGTGGGATGAGGGGGTTCCAACATATGATGCCTCGTTGAGACAAAACTTTTGTATGCATGCTACACTACTATGGACAATTAATGACTTTCCTGCTTATGATATGTTGTCTGGTTGGATGACAATGGGAAGATTATCATGTCCAATATGTATGGAGAACTCAAAGGCATTCCAATTAAAGCATGGGTAGAAATCATCTTTCTTTGACTACCATTGTCAATTCCTTCCCAATGATCACCAATTCAGGAGAAATAAAACCTCTTTTTACAAGAACAGGATTGAAAACTCAATGCCTCCACCTCGTTTAAGTGAAGAGGAAGTTTGGGGAAGAGTACAAAATTTGCCGAAGGTCACTGAGAGTGGAAAAACTATTCCAATTGAAGGCTATAAGCACACTCATCATTGGACAAAATAAAGCATATTTTGGGAATTGCCATATTGGAAAAATAACCTCATTCGACATAATCTTGATGTCATGCACATTGAGAAAAATGTTTTTGATGATCTGTTTCACACCGTCATGGACACAAAGGGAAAGACAAAAGATACTATATAAGCTCAAATGGACTTGAAAGAATATTGTCGACGAAAGGATGATGAACTTGTTGAAAGAGGAGGGAAAATAGTGAAACCCATTGCAAATTATACAGTGAATTTAGAACAAAAATGACCAATTTGTCAATGGGTGAAGAACTTAAAACTCCCTGATGGATATGCATATAATCTAGCTCGATGTGTGGACATGAAGGAAGCAAAGTTATATGGAATGAAGAGTCATGATTGTCATGTATTCATAGAACGCTTGCTTCCTATTGCCTTTGCTACTTTGCCTGAAGTTTTTTTAAATCCTATAGTAGAGCTTAGTCAATTCTTTACACAACTTTGTTCTACTACTTTGATGATAAATCAACTAGACAATTTAGACCAAAATATTGTTACGACATTGTGCAAGTTGGAGAAGGTCTTTCCCCCAAGGTTCTTTGACTCAATGGAGCATTTACCTATCCATCTTCCCTATGAAGCTAAAGTTGGAGGGCCTGTTCAATATCGATGGATGTATCCATTTGAAAGGTAATTAAACTTAATTCTTTAGTTGAGAACAAATATAAGGTAAGTGTAATAATTAATGTTAGTTTTCACTTCCCTATAAATAGGTTTCTCTATACCTTGAAACAAAAGGTAAGGAACAAAGCTCGAGTTGAAGCGTCTATATGTGAAGCTTGTATAATTGAAGAGACCGCGGTATTTTGCTCACACTATTTTGAGTCAGGTGTTCCACCAAGAATAAGAAGACCTATAAGAAATAACGATGATGGAGAATCAGATGTGCCAGCAATCTATATTTAACTATCGGGGAAAACCTTCTGGGGAATGTAAATCCCATTTCTTGGAGGATGAAGAAGCTGAAGCAATCACAAGATATGTTTTAATGAATTGTGACAAAGTGCAACCTTATATGAAGTAAGTGATCTTGAAATAAATTAAATTGTATATTAAATATATGCCTGGTTAACGCGTTATTTTTTATGCAGTTTTTTTGTACAAATATTAAATGAAGAGAACCCTCTAATTACGGATAATGAGATAGAATCCCAAATCAACAAAAGGTTTCCAGCATGGTTTAAAGATCATGTAAGTATTAATTATTTACAACTTACAACAAATTTTATTTAAAGTAACACTCATTGTTAATGTCATGCAGGTTCAAAATCCTGCTAACAATATTATGGATTCATTTTTGCATGACATTGCTTGGGGCCCAAAGAGAAGTGTGAGGACATGGCCTATGTACTTTGTCAATGGGTATAAGTTTCATACAACTTCATGGGCTATTCGAAAATCAATGACAAATAGTAGTGTGTGCATTAAGGGAACTGACTATACACAATTAGAACATTACTTTTATGGCATTCTTCAAGAGATTGTGGAGATTGAATATATGGGTCTTCCTGTGAAGAGATTAGTGTTATTTAAATGTGAGTGGTTTGATCCAACGCCAAATCGTGGTACAAGAGTTCATCAACAATATGGGACTGTTGAAGTTTATGAATTACGAAGGTACCACAAGTATGATCCATTTATTTTTGCCCAGCAAGCAATGCAAGTATACTACACGCCTTATCCTAGTTGCCGTAAAAAGGCAAATTGGTTAGCTGTTATTAATATCAAAGCTTATAGTATAATTGACTCTCCTGCATCTGAAACAAACATAACAACATTCCAAGTGGATGAACTAGAAGTCGTACTACCAGTAATTGTGAGTGATGATGATGAATTAAATAATCAAAGTGACTTCGAAATTCGTTATGAAGAAGTGGATGTGCCAATTGATAATATGGTTGAAGAAGAAGAACAAGAGGAGGAGGAGGAAGAAGAAGAAGAAGAACAAGAGGAGGAGGAGGAGGAAGAAGAAGATGATGATGATGACGACGACGACGACGACGAGGATGACAATACAAAAAAGAGTGAAAAAGATTCTGATATGGATGAAAATGAAGAAGAAGAAGATGATGATGATGATGATAATACATAAATTATAGTGACATTTTGTTCCCATTTAGTTAAGTTTAATTGCATTAACTTTTAATTGATTTAGTTTTTATTGAGAATAATTTTGTGATGATTGATTTATTATTTATTCCTAACTCAATGTTCATATTTGAATATACAAATGGCAAGTTATCGCTCAAAGCATGATAGCAAACAATTAAGTACTTCATCATCTTCACAATTACCTAAGCAGCTTCAAAAATGTTCTACTCCTACATCAGCGCCACCTGTGAATCAGACATCCATTAGGCCTCCGATCACTACTAGACTTACTATACCTTCAGTATCATGTGCATCATCTTCGGTTATGAATGAATCACTCAGTAAAGCCTCATTATCTCCTGCATCATCTCCATTTTTGAATGAATCAGTCAGTAGACCCTCATTATCACCTCAAGCATCATCTCCTCCAATCCTACCTCCTGGAACAGAAAACTCGCAACCCCCTGCTCCACAAGCTCCTTATGTTAGTCTTTCACCATGGGTTATCATCTCTCAGATGGTCGAACATGGATATATCCTGAAAAGAAAACATAAGTCATCATCAAGCTTATATTATTTCACATCTTATATTATTAGATTAAAGTCGTTTTACAATTTATAATGATTTCTTTATAATTGTTTTAGGTTTAATCCTACTGTTGCTACTGTACGAAATATTCTTCCTGTTATTTAAGAAAAATTTGACTATCCATGTTCTAGTTGGAAAACAACCCCACCTGAGTATAAGAAAATGTGGTTTGATGAATGGGAGGTAGATCTTTTCTCTATTATTATGTTTATTTTACATATTGAGTTTTTTTTCCCTCTTATTATGTTTAGTTTGATTTTTTTTTGTTTCTTATTTATGCAGCAAAAATATAAATGGTTGCCATAATATGATAGTGCTATAAAGAAAATTTGGAATGGAAAGTGTGCAGAAATTTTAAGAAATACAATGCATACTGTTAGGCAAGACCTATATCAAAAACAAATTAGAGCTAAGTGGATTCCATGTCAAGTGATGGAGGAGTTAGAGAGAATATGGGCATCAGAAAATTATAAGGCCAAATGTGAGATAGCTAAAGCCAATCGAGCCTCGACCACAGGAGGTACTCAACACAAAGGTGGTAGTATTCCTAATACTGAGCATAAGAGGAGGCTGGTAAGAATTTATCTTCAAATGAAATCTTTATTTATTTAATGCATGTATAATGCATATTTATAAATAACTACAGGCTTTAGAGTTGGGAAGAGACCCTACTATGTTTGAACTGTTCAAGAAGACGCATCAAAATGAGAGCACTGGAACATTTGTGGACAAGCGGGCAGAATTAGTTCACGTGAGTATATGCTTATACTATGTTTGTCATATTGGATCATTTGAACTGTGCTGACGGCTGGAGGCCTGACTAGTTATAGTGTGAGTCTTAGTCTTATTAAATGAGAGCACCGGAACATTAACTGTTTGTTTGATGTCTCTGATTAGTTCCACTTGATTGCAATGACATGTTTTTAGTTTTTGGCCCTAAAACGTTTATTTACAGTCTTCATTATAGTCAACTCTTATTTAATAAATAAAACATTCACTTATTTTATATATTCCTGTTACTTTTGTTTTACAGGATGATTTCATAAGGAGAAAGGCATCAATAAGTTCTGAAAGAGGCTCTGCAAGTGTACAATCTAATCAAGCAGAATTTAATATATGGTTAGAGGCTACAAGTGGTAAAAACAAGAAGGGTCGCATCTATGGGTTTGGATCTGAGGCTGACAGTGACATTGGTTGTACACAAGCATCTCCTCCATCCATCAGCACCACAAGCATCCATCCTAATGTTGAAAATGAATTACGCATGAAGATAACGGTGCTTACAGAGGAGAATGAACAAATCAAACAACAGAATGTCATGATCATGTCTGCATTGGAAAAAATGGGAATTACATTTCCTTTGCCCTTTAACAGTACAAATGCAGAAAATGACAATTGAGAGTTATTATGTAGTTGAGTAATTGACTCTAGTATAAGACTTTTGACATTTCAAATATTTTTCATTGAGAATCTATGTTTAGACTACTTTTTAATTACACTATCTTTGACTTTCAACAAATTTAATTATTTTTTGTTATGCTTTTTAATTATTTGCTCTCCTTTTAAAAACTAACAAATAAATAAAATAATATACAAGAAAATTAAAAAAACCAAATTCCTAATTAGTCACGGAATTTGCAACGGATTTTCGTGGCTAATTAGCCAAGGAATTACTCACGGAAAATTCCGTGGCTAATTAGCCATAGAATTTTCCATGGGTAACTCTGTGGCAAATTACTGACGGAACTTTTTCGTCTGTAATTTCTGGCAGAAAGTTTCTATCAAAAATCCATCACAAGTTTCCGACGGATATTCCGCCACAAATTAGAGACAAAGTCAGAATTCTGTCGCTAAAATATTTAGTGACGGTTTAACTAGCGACGAAAGTTATTCCGTCAGAAATTCCGTCGGTAATTCTGGATTCCGTCAATAAATCCGTCAGTAATTCAGTGTTTTTTTGTACTGACAATAAATCATTCAAACTAGTTTGAAGTTAGACCATATGAACATGATATAAATGAACAAAATATGAATAATATATCATCTCTTTAATTTGCACACAAATGGCATAATAAAATATCAATATCATAATATGCCCATCTTTTAGGCTATTCTATTAATATGAAAGTAAATTATATTCATATTTCATATTCTTAAAAATGCAAATAAATTTGCACAATAAATTAATATTTCAAAATGATCAATAATTAATTTTTGGTATATTTTGTTTCATATCACTCTTGAAATATTTATCAATATTTCAATATCAAATACTTATAATAATATGTTTCTACCTATCAATCACCAAAAAATTTAAAGTAATATCATATAACATGTTGGAAATAGCATTTTGGACTTATGATTATATTTTTCAACTTTAACTACTTTGAACATATTTCTTTACAAAACATTGTTTTAGATATCATAACTATATTTAATACTTTTCATAATATCTCCTGATCTTTTAGTTTCATAACCAATTTTAACATTTACTTTTAATGAATTGGTAGATATATTTGTCCATATGACTTATGGCCATATTATGATATTTGCTCATAATTTTTTTAACTATAGATGACTATAGAGGTATCAATATCTTCTCAATTACGGTTCAATAGCCAAGACCATAATCTATTACCCTTCAATTATTAATTCAACTGATATAATGTGGTTATGCTCTTTGTCACTTTTATAGACATATTCCTTACTTTCAATAACACATAATCAACTTCTCCAAATATTAGTCTTTAGGACTATAGGAAAAAATCTTTCAAATAAAGCTCTTTCATGCCATTTGTGATGTTTGAACCTTTAGCCTTCATGACTTTGATATTTGTCACCATGTAGCTTCTTAGGGTTTTGATATTTGTCACTATTAGATTATCAAAGTGCCAGAGATATCTCTTGTCATTCCATTTAAAAGCATCTATGGTGTTCTTTTATAGAAGAACCATTACAAAAGTGACGTGACTTCTAGTCATCTAATCACATGATTAAAAGTATTATGACTTCTAGCCACTTAATAAAATGAAATTAAAATAATATTATAATGAAATGAAATAAATTCAAATTCATAATCAACTATAAATAACAAATAAATTCAAATATAAATAACATTATATAATCATATATATAATATTATGATAGATATAAAACAACATAATATGAATCAGGTAGAGATATATGTAAACAAACAATAGAATAAGAAGTATTGAAAAATAAATAATACAATATCACAATGGGAAAATAGCAAAATTAAAATATATAAAAAGAATAAATTAATAAATAACATAATATATATAGTAAATATATAGAAAATTAAAATTGTACATGGTAATGGGATAAAAAGAATAATTGAGTAAGATGAAGTTAATAGAGAGAATTATTACATACTATAAGAATATATCAATTTACAAAGCTTATATCTCAAATCTTCAGAACAGACTTGTAGTTGTAAAATAAAAGAAATACAAGGGATTGAGATGAGAGAGATGGACAAGATATATAAGAGAGAATTGGAAGAGAAATAGGAAGTAATCTTTTATTTATTTCAAACTTACAACCATTTGGTATATACCTAGTATTTATAGGTTACAAATCTTTAAATTCTTTTCAAGAGTTATAATAAGGAATAAATCTACATATTGTAGGATATATAATATTTGGAGGTTATGAGTATTAATCATAGGAAACTCTCAAAATTCATATTGTAAGTTATAAGCTTTAAGTGTGAAATCCCAAAAAAAAACAGCTCTTAAAGAGTTATGAATATCCACACTTAATATTACAATATTTATAACAAAAAGTTATACATTTAATGACTTGACTCCACCGCAACCGATTTTCTTGGAACTTTTTGAAGCAGCTTCATCAACATTCAATTTGAAATTAATACAGGAGTAAGTCGCCGATATTTAATGCAGTCCGTATCCTGTATCTCCACATAATGCCTCGCTGGTTCAGCAATAGAAACAAAAATACGTCCAAATTACAACTATATTTAAGTAAAGCAGCTGGTAGGGATAGTAACACGGGCTAACTCACGGGCCAACCATCAACTATTTTTTTTTTTTAACTTTTTAAATATTTTTTATACAATATAAACAAAATATAACAAAATTTTTAATTTTTTTTTCCAATATTTGATGAAAAACACCAAATTAATAATATATTTAATTTTTAAAATTTTTAGATAAGCTATAAAATATAATAATATAATTATAATAATTAATAAATTTTAAAAAATGCAGATTAGCTAACAGGTTGTTTTTTAGCCAATTCTAATTCGCTATTCTCAGTGGCATTACCAGCCCTAACAGTGGGGTCAGGAGGTTTTACAAATTTGTGATTAAAATAAAAGCTGTTGCATTCTCCGGGAGCCAAAGCTTCTAAATCATGACTCCCCACAAATATGCTTTAATTTATTAAGGTATTTTAATATTCCCGTCCAATGCATTTTATATTATTTGTATGTTCACGTTAATCCACAGCAAACGTAGGAAGTTGATATTACCCAATCCAATTGGGTAATGTGATGTAAGAAGAGATTGGGATGAAGATTGGACTTCACATTACCTCATACCAAACATGAAAATGTTGGCACTACTTAAGCCCAATTACAATCTCAACTCCAGTTACACTTGCCAAACAAGACCTAGCATTCTTGCATCAAAGGAGGCAAGCATCCCATGGGGGAACTCCTACTGTTCAAATTATAAGGTATACTTTATTTGTTTATGTTTATTAAGAAATTAGTTAAAATCAATTTAAAATAATAAATATATAAGCAATGTATTTTTTTTCTTACATATACTGTTATTAATAAAGAGAATAAATAGAAAATGTTATAAATGAATCAAAAAGTAAAGAGAATATATAGAGTAAAATTGAAAAAAATACATTTTACTTTCATTTAAAATTAAACAAATTTCTAACTTTATACCTATTTAATATACATTATACCTCATGTAAATAAAATCAACAATAAAAGGTAAACTGTACATCTATACAAAAAAATTTCACTTAATATCTTATAAATAGAACAAAAAAATATATTATATCCTATAAATAGGACCAGAAAAGTATACAGGAGAGGACGTTGTGAGCTTGGTTCAGGTCCATAATTTTTTTAATCCTAGATTTCTTTTCTAAGTCTGATTCTAATTTATCGAGCTGACGCCATCCAGTCAAAAGCTCGAGTCATTCATTTTGGAGGGGGGGGGGGGACTTAGTATCATGGAACATATATAATTTTTAAAAGATCATATTAAACTTTAAATTTAATGATATAAATAAAAGTCTTAAAGGATAAATATAAAATATATTAAGTTTTAAATTTTAGATTCAAAATTAATTTTCTTATCTATGTAAATTAGTTAATTAATTTTTATATTTACAAACATGGGAGAACAATAATAATGTGGAATCAAAGAATGGAAAGTAAGGTAGATTTGACAAAAATTCTGACAAAAAAAAAAAGATGAAAGAATTACAATGAGGCCCCAAAAAAAAATTATAAAAAAGTCTCAAAGGTTGTTATTTTCTACTTTAAAGTTCATCATTACATGCTGAGGTTGTTAATGAAATTTTTTATAATTATTTTTCTTGCTCGGGAATATTTGACAAAAATTAAAAAGCGCAAACCTCATTACAGATTCATTTAGCACGGTCATCATGAAATAATTAAGAAACAAGTTGATTAAAAAAAAAAAAAAAAGATCAGCATCGTGATTTATAATTTGCTTTAATTAACATTTGGATACGTGTGCTTTTTTGTGAATTGAAGAAAAGAGCACGGTGGGTGATTAAAGTGGCTGTAGAGCAGGGGCAAAAAACAAGTTCCACCTACTTTATAATTTATAAGTCATTCTAAACAGACACACCAAATGAGAAAAGCATTAAGCAGAAGGTAACGGACAGGCCAGCATAAAGCATGATGATGAGATTGGAAGAATATGATTTATTTTGAATTAAATGATCCCTTGCATGACAGTGACTATAACACGACAATTATCTGGACAGTGAACCTCAGTCTACCAACTTTTAACAGGAGAAGCAACAAGGAAAAGCAGTGAACTAAATGCAATGGAATAGGCACAGAGTAACAATACAGATTAATTCTGAGATGTTACAGTAAGCATATTCTCACCGAGAAGAACGAACCTTCATAATTAAAGGATAAAGAATTGAAAGCACCTGCTTACACCATTGCCTGTATGTTCATCCAAATGTGAAATAATGCACGATTGTGGACATATCCCATTTCAATATCAAAACACAATCTCGTGACATTGGGAAAGTCCGATAAAAACAATTCCATCCACGACAGTAATTGAACTTGGTGGTATGAACAATGGACATCAATGTAAAATGTTGACCAGAGAAGGAACAAGGCTAAGGAATAAATTGAATGCGATGACATACACAAAGAAAAATAATGCATACAAATAGCATGGGTTCTGAGAAATCACAGTCTGCCTGGAAATTATCAGGAGAAGAGAAGATGCAACCTTCAGTATGTAAAATGCCCCCTCCGTTTTATATTTGCAACAATGATTCATAAAGAAAGTCTCGCTGCACAAGATTACATGAAACTTCATTCCCAAATTGGAGCTGATAAATTTGCAACGCATTGGACATCTCCATGAGGAACCCAACAGAAACTGCATGCTTCAAGACACTCATTTGTCTACTAGATGAGAGCCCACTGGCCAAGTCTCCCTGAAAATTTGGAAGCAGAGATTCTTCAGCTCCAGAGTCCGACACAAAATGCAGTACAAAAATAATATTGCCTACACAAACTTTAAGATGAAAATGACGGTAATATAATCTCACTTTGTTATAATACCCACCCCCATTTTCTTGATCTCGAGCACATTAAAAATTGTAAATCCTTTGCATTTGCTAGTATATCACCCCAAACCACCACATTAACATCAGACAGGACTCAGGAGTATGATAATGATGGGGGGGAAAATAATGTGACATGAAAAACCCTCCACCTTAAGAATAGGCTCAAGATCTCTTATGTAGTGTTACACTCTGTCCGTATAAAACTCCCGTTGACAAGTTAAAACCCAAATAGGAATAAAACCCCCCAACAACCTAGCAATGTGGCATGAACAATGTAGTTAGATAGAGAACAAACCTCTATAACCCAAATCATAATGTGAATAACCATTTCCTTCAGATAAATATGTATCTTCTTTAAAATGAGTGCTTGAAACATGAGCAATCTTGGGCCAATCCTCCCCTGTTTCATCCTTACATCTCTTCACTAAGTCTGGACAACTGTAAATTACCAACTCTTTCAAACTACCAAGGGACTGAATGCTCATTGGAAGTGACATCAGCCTGGGGCAATTAGATATAACCAATGACTTCAGCGTCCTTAGGTTTCCCAGCCAGTCAGGAAGCAATGCTAGATTGGGAAGATCATATAACTTTAATGATTGAAGGGCCACAATATGTTGTAAAGCCTCAGGAAGATCTTTCACCTCGGGGCAGCCTGCAATTGTAAGATCTTCGAGGGCAGCAAGGTATTGAAAGCCTGCCGATAATTTGAACTTAGTATACCCACAAATTCTCAATCTTTTGAGAGAATACAACCCTTGAAATGCTTGTTCTGCCAATGTCCCGAGATTTTTGCAACCAGCAATATGTAATTCTTCAAGAGCATTTAAGTTGCCAAGCTCAGTTGGGAGCACTTCAAGTTTGTCAAGAGAATGAATGTGGAGTTCCTTGAGACACACAAGGCCTCCTAGCATCCCATTTGGAAAGGAAATCAGATCTTTATCTTTAATGAACCAAAGGCATTCAAGATTGCGCAGGTTTTGAATTGAACCCAGTAACACTCCATTGGATTCCTTCAGCAGTTTTAGTTCGGTGACAGATGGAAGGCAAGGCAAGATCAATTTTGGACATTGAGAAGTTTGCAATGTCGAGAGACATGGGAACATGTTGTCTCCATCTACCCTTGACAACTTCACGAGGTTTGGTAGCTTTTCCAACAATAGAAATTTCAGAGTGGTGAAACCTCTCACTACCCCATTATTGTAAGATTCATTATCCACATATTGCAAGAGATTCAGGTTTGATAAACTCAGCTTTGTCAAAGATGGAAGCTTTTCCAGAGGTGAAATGTCGAAACAATTTTTACAATCCACAAGTTCTAATTTACTTAAATACTTCAGGGCAGGATTACCCATCCACTGTGGAAATTGAGTACCAAAATATCCTCCTATTGACAAAATTTTAAGTTGTGAATGAGGTTGAAGATCTTCAAGAATAAGCTCATCATTTTCCTGTAACGGGGACTCCTCATTTCTTTCCCATGACAACACCAACTCAGTTAAGTGCTTATCCGCCAAATTGGCTTCTTTGGCGTCCATCACACTTCTCAATCTCTCCAAGTGCCTAATGTGGAGTGTTCCTTTAAGCTTCAAGTTTCTTAATTCTGCCAATAGGAACCCATTTTGTGTACCAACAATGTATGTATTCAAGGTCTTTAAGCAAGTTAGCTGACCCATGTTAGGGGCCAATCTAGATAATGATCGACACCAATCCAAATATAGATGACGGAGTGACTTCAAGCACTCCATTTGGTTTGGCAACTTTTCAAGATATTGACAATGGTTCAGATTCAAGATCTGCAAATTGTGCAGTCTACAAATCGAATTAGGAAGTGTTTTAAATGAACCATTAGAAAGGTTTAAGTACCTCAAATGTTTTAATTGGCCAATAGCAGATGATACCTCTTTGAAACACAACATATCCAGCGCTCGCAAGGAATGACATCTCATCAATAGATTATTATCCTCATCACATTTTTGCATTATATTTATACAGGTCTTCAAGGATTTGATTTGTCCTAAATAAGACAACCATTGTCCGTGAGATGGCTTAAAATGATTAAATGAGATATGACGAGTTCTCTCAGATAGAATAGGAGAGTCATCCTTAGATGTAATGCAACAACACACGTCCTCTACAGCAGATTGGGCTAGATCATGAACAAGATCATGCATGTAGAAAAATGTATCATAGCCAAAACCCTTCACCTCAATATCATTGAAAAATGACCTTAAATATAATTCATTCCACACTCTATCGCCATCATCTTCAGCTTCCACGCTTTCATTGGATGAAATGAAGCCATTGGCCATCCAAAGCTCAATTACTAGTTTCTTACTCATCCTTTGATCTTTGGGGAACAATGCACAGAAGGCAAAACACCGCCTTAATTTTGTGGGTAAATTCAAATAACTCAATCTTAAAGCAGGCAAGACTGATTCTTCTTCTTGTGGTAAATTCCAAATCTCACTTTCCTTAATACGAAGCCACTCTTTTTCATCACTGTGGAAACGCAAAAGACTTCCTAGAGTTTTAGCCGCAAGAGGCACTCCTTTACACTTTTTTACTATTTCCTTCCCTATAGCCACAAGCTCTCTGCGTTCCTCCTGCTCTGATCCAAAAGCTCGTTGTCTGAACAACTCCCAACAATCATCTTCTGACAACAGGGACAATTGATGAGAAGGCACTGTTCCTGTGATGCATGCAACTTTTGAAAGGCGAGTAGTGACCAGAATTGAAGCCCCCTTTGATCCACAAGCCAAAACATATTTCAACTTATCCCATTTCTCCTGATTATCATTCCACACGTCGTCCAGGACAAGCAAATATTTCTTTCTTCCAATCACATCTTGAAGTCGTCTTTGTAGGGGTTCTAGATCTAAATCTCTGCAAGCATGCCCAGCTGACTCTATTATAGCTTTTGACAGCCTTTTCAGATTGAAATCTTCAGAAACACATACCCAAATCCTCAGCTCGAAATGATTAACTACCCTCTCATCATTGAAGACATGTTGAGCAAGGGTAGTTTTTCCGAGACCACCAATACCAATAAGTGGATAGACTGATACGTCCTCCAAATTAGAAGCATCACCAACCAAAAAGTCCACAATTTTCTCTTTCTCTGCTTCCCTCCCATAGAATTGGGGTTGAGTAATGATTGAGGTAGTTTGCCGCCATTCCATGACTTCATTCCGCCTCTCACGAACCGTCGCACACAAATGGAACTTCAACCTTTCCTCAGCAATTTCATCTATCCTTTCACTTATGTCTTTCAGTTTCTCAGCAATTTTGTAACGGAACAAAATTTACTGGGATGCAAATAGTTAAAGCAAGAGCCTTGTACCGTGAGTGACGACCCACACTTGAGTTCTGGGTATTCCAATGAAAGGGCGTGTGTTGAACACTCATCCAAGATGTCATCCAGCAAGTGAGCTGCATCTTGAAGCTTGTGGAGCCAATTGTTGAGGGCTTTGTTGGTGAGCTGCTTCTCCTCAGCATCTTCAAGCACGGCCTTGATCGTAGAGAGAACGCTGGAAAGCCTTCTCATCTCTCGATCAACACCCAGAAACAAATCGATCTCCTTCTGAATGAGAGATCTCAAAGTCGCGAGGGCGACTTCAATCATAGCCTCCGTCATCGTCTAAAGACAAAATGAAAATGTTGTGAAGTGTGTTTATTTTTCTCAGTGAGAAGTTGCGGGTGCAGAGGAAAGTTTGCAGGAATCAAGGAGGAAGATGACTAGATGTAGGGGCGTGCATAAAGTCCAGATGCCCGCCCCACTCGAACCCGAGAAAAAATTGTCCAGTCCAACCCGCAAAAAAATGGACATTTTTGGGCTGGACATTTCATGAACAGGATTAAGTATCAGACAGGATATGCTGTCCTGTCCATTTAGCTTTGTCCAGATTATATATATATATATATATATTATAATTTATGAAATAATATTAATATATTACATTTTTTTATCTAAAAAAAAGTTATCTCCCTCCTCTTTGCAATTTAATTTATTATTGTCACATGTCTGTTAGTTTTCCATTTTAGGGTATCTAATTCTTCTAAAGAAGCTGTAGTATCTTGCTTTTAATTTGTTCTTCATGAGTTTTATTGGGTATATCCTATTATGTGTTGCTATTTTAATGTTGGCTATTTATAAGTTAGTCTTCCCTTTTATGCTATTAACAACTTTTTTTTGTTAAAGAATGGAGTTCATACGTTACATATTTGTATAAATCAACAATTTTAAATATTTATACAAGATAAAAAACAAGATTGGGGTAGGAGTAGGGAAAGAAAAGTGGGGTTTAATTATCTGAATTACATGCTTTATTTTTTATTTAATTTATATTTAGTTATTTTGTATTAATTTGTTATGAAAAGTCATATGATGGAAAGAAATATTTTAGTTGTATGAACTGCTAACTGCATTGTATTACATAATAAGTGTTTGCATATTAAAAGTGGTTATATTAAATTATTATAAGATTTTAAGATTTTTTATTTTTCTTTTTACAATTATTTTCACCATATTTTTATATGGTCTATATTATTCCTGTTAGCCCATTGCTTCAATTTTAATATCCTTTTATAATCTTTTAGGTAACATTTAATTTTTGCCACTTAAATGGATAATCAAACTTTTATCACATCGCCATCTCTGACCCCCAATGGAATGTCTCAATGTGCTTTAACCCTTCTTCAATTTTTTCAAATGTTTTATTCTTTTCTCAACTTTCTGAAGATTAATGCAAACCATTTGAATTTCAAGGCTTTAATTGCAATCTTAAGAGGTGTTTTGTTCTAAATGGATTATGAATATTATTTATTTGGATATTTGCTAAGATTTCTTTTAAATTATTTCTAGATAATTTAATGTGTGAAAATGTAAAATTATGAAACGTAATTTTCAAATATGGATAAAAGTTTTTTTACATGCGATATCGGTAGGTCCTCACCATTTAGGCAGCGAAGCCCGCTCTGCTCAACACGCCCATACCCAACCCAAAATGGTTAGAGCTTCTATGGGTATGATCGGGCAGCGGGTTGCAAAATGCAACCCGCTCATACTTTGGACTAGGCATCGGGCAGGGGTCATGCCCTGCCCAGTCCTGCCTATGTGTACTCCTAACTAGATGAGCAGTGACAATTCAAGTCAACGAGGCCAAGTACAAAATTTATTAAAATATTGAAAAATAAAATTAATATTATTTGCTTAATTATATTGCATCAATTGATTCATAATTGTTGTCACTAAAAAAAGCATTCATAATTATAATTAAAAATCAAGATTTTAATGCTACAGCCATAATTGTAGCCCTTCCTCTTTAACTTTATTTTTCAGCAATGCCTATCTTCCTACGATCAGGGTATCATTTTATTATTAATATGGATAATTATCTAATTATCTGATTAATTTTTTTACTAAATTACACCAAATTCCCTCCAACTTTAAATCATGCACACATAACCCATTTAATTTTTAATAATAAACCTCTCTCAACTTTCAAACGTTGCAGATATCTCACAAGCATCAATTATATAACCTTTTAAATTTTATTCTTACGTGCACATAACCTCAAAATTTAGGTTATATAAAAATAATCTCTCAGGTAAAATTCAATAATGTATAAATTTACTTTTTTATTTAAAAAAATATCATATACATTCTTGCTGGTTATTTTAATAATAGTATCTCTTGGTTTCATATAAAAATAATAATATCTCTGTTATTTCAAAAAAAAATGGTGAAACTCAAAATGCAGATTACATTTCCTCTGGTTCTGTCTAAAATCTGACGATCATAAGGCTTTTAGTTGTTGTTTATTGTTATTTAATCTTTTTGTTTTTAAATTAGTTCAGACTTTGGAGGTTACTCTTAGAATTAGAACTGGAAGTTACTTGTAACTTACAGATTTTCCAACTGTTTTCTTTTTTAAAAACTAGTTTACAGAACCAAAAGTGAACGTAAAGCATTCCCTTGGCAAATTGAACAAGAAACTGTCCTCTTACAGTGCCCCCACATAAAATGACTAAATTCATAAGATAGAATCACGAGGAAAAAGAAAAACATAATTACTAGTTAGTCACAATAATAAGTAAGTAGTTGTTATTTTCTACTTTAAAATTTGTTATTATAGACTGTTCTGTTGCTATTGAAACATTTCAATAATTATATTCCTTGCTAGGAACTTTATTACAATTCTTCAATCAAATTCATAATACTTCATTCTTTCAGGCAGTTTTGGTATAGATAGTGAGTGCAGGAAGAAGTATTAGAAATTTCATGAGATGGTGTCCTCTATTACACATTTACACTTTCAAATTCATTTTCATCTACTTTCTGTTGTACTCCTCCTTAATGGGGGAAATAAAATGAATTGAAATTTCTCTGTCACACGTGAGACTCAATTTCAAAGAACTTGAGTTGGACATTTAATAGAGAAGAAATGAGGTTCAGATAAACCAGATCTTGTAAGTTGGCAGAAAATGAAAAGGTACTCATAACCTGTTTCCATAACATGTAAAATGCTTAAGGAAGTCACGTGGCAAAAACTGATATATAACTTATTAGTAAATTAGCAGAGAATTCATATAATGTCAGTAGAGAAATACTGAATAATATGTATAAATCCAAGGTTCAGGGTTGAATTGAATGTGCTGGTATAAATTCAAAATCATAGGTCCCGTTTGGTACGAAGTACTGAAAATGAGGGATATGGATTGGGATTGCAACTGAAAAAAATTATTAAAATAATATTTAATATGAGTAATTGCTTATTATATGAAATTAGGCAAACTCATAGAAGTGGGATTGGGGAATACCACTTCTCTCCATAGTATTCTCCAAGCCCACATACACGGGTTTGACTAATCCCATATGACAAGTGCTCTCTTAGGCTAAACACTCTTTTAATAGATTTTTTAGATCTCAATCTCAATCTTAATCTCTAATTTTTAATGCTTCTTACCAAACGCAAGATAAGGATTCAATAAAAAAAAAAATAAAAGAACTAAACGGATCCAATTCAAAATTTAATAAAGCTAGAAGCACTGTTAGATTAGTTTTCCCATATACATACACACACAAACATATATAGTTTTTTTTTTTTTTTGCTATCATCAAAATCCGAGTTAAAACTATTGGGCCAATTTTAGCTTTTCTTTTAGGGTTAAGAGCACTTTCAACTATGTTTTCAAGTGCGTCCAGTGTTGTAAAGTTATTTGTGGTGCAATTTCACCCTTAAAATTATTAAATTGGTGCAATCTCGTCCGAAACTAACTCTCAGTCAATTTTGACCGTTAACTTACTGAATCACCAAGAATTTGACCAAGTTAATCTTAGGTGGCATATAATAAGCACATGACATGGAAAAATTTCCAAGTTGAAAAAAAAAAAATTAAAAACAAATCTGTGGCAGAAACATATAGGGATAAAGAACTCATGGACATCGCAGTGAATTCTTCAGTCCTTCGTCAATCTTTGAAAATGAACAGGTTTAAGCTATAGGAGGCTGAAGCAAGCGACCTGGTGGAGGAAGAGAAGGCATGAAGCAACTAGCTAATTCTAAAATGGGTCCAAACCAGTCATCTTCATAAGGAGAGCTGCATGGATTATCATGCTAATAGTGATAATAATGACAATCTTTTCATGGATGGATTCGAACCGGTTAGTGAGTTTCAAGAACACGCACAATCAAAGACGAAGGATCAGGAAAAAAAATGAAAGATTTGTCAGATCTAGCCCTTTAGCCCCAAGCTTTCTTGTCTTTTCTGCTCTCTCCTTATCTAGATCCAAAACCAAGGCATATGAAAGTGAAATTTCCGATCAGTGGATTCTCTGAGTCAGGCGACGTTCTGTGCATTGCCAGAGGCACACGCGCCACTTCGATCCAGTTGAGTCTGACCTTCCATTGATTGTTTCAGATCCTAGGTTCGCGTCTTGGGATTTAGATCTAGTTGATCTGGTGACCTTCCTCCTCATACAATATTGTGATCTTGTCTCCCCTTAATCGGACCTGTTCGTCATCTCCAATGGACTCAGATCTGATCCTTATCCTTGTTGCATTAGATTTGCTTAGGGAAGTATGGATATCTCCTTGTTCCTCTTCCTTTTCTTTTGTTTTTTCTTTCCTGCCTCTTCTTTTCCAATCATGCTGCTCAATAGAAATTTTTTTATCAACTTCAAAAAATTGCGAGGTCACGTGCTTGTTATATGCCACCTAAGATTAATTTGGTCAAATTCCTAGTGGTTCACCAAGTTAACAGTAAAAATTAACTAAGTGTTAGTTTTGGATGAGGTTGTATCAATTTAATAACTTTAAGAATGAAATTACACCACAAATAACTTCAGAACACTAAGTGTACCAGAGAAAATAATTAGGAGTGTTGGGTGCATCTTAACCCTTTCTTTTATTATTCAAAAATCATTCGGTTGAATTGTTCAATTCAATATATTAAAACCCAGACGAGTTAGCTTGGAAGTCAGTTAAATACTTAAATATGGGTTGGATTAACTTGATGTGAGCTAGACTTAAACCAGTTGACCTGAACAGGTCAGTGGGTCAGTCCAATTTAAGTTTTTAAGGCAGCGTCATTTTATTTTATTTTTTAAAATCAAATATGATGAGCTGCTCCTTTCCTTGTCTCTTTGCT